GTGGGAACCTGCAGCCAGGGAGAGGGGAACAGAGCAGCCGCCGGGGACTGCTCTGGAAGAGCCCTTCTGCAAACAGGTGAGCAGTAAGACAAAGCCTTACTGACCGGGAGGCAGGAGCAAGGGGCGGCTCCCGGAAGTGGCAGGTCTTAGGGGGCAGGCGGGGGAGCTGCCAATGAGGTCCAAAGAGGTAGTCACTCAGCGACACAGTTTTGTAGAGGGAACATAAAGCTGAAAGAGCCCTATGATCTCAAAGGGGTTATAAAGAAGGAGGTGGGGGAACAAGGCAGACTCTTGGGCTCTTAAGAGAAACACCAGCAGGGGCATCAGGAACACACGGGCTGGGGAGCTGCTTCCAGCTGGGTGGGATCCAAGGCTTAGCGTGTCTCGCCTCTGCAACAGTCAACAAATCATTCATTCCCTTGGGCTTCAATCAGGCACAACCTAATGCTGTAAGAACTGGCTCAAGTGCTAGAAAAATGAGTTGCCGGGTGGTAGACTGGGAGAGCTGCGACCGAGAAGAGGGTGGACTCTGACAAGGGCCCTCAGGAGGAGGCATCTTCCCACCTGCCCTTGCAATGCACTGCAGCAGGAGCTGGGCCTAGAACTGTGGGTGAGGAGCAGGGCGGGACACAGTGGGATGCTCCGTGCTCCCTGTGAGACAGTCTTCTTTTACGTGTAGCTCAGCTTCTCTCTCTGTATGCATCTCTCACTGCATGGAAGATTCACTGGTGTTACAGCCTGCACGTGGAGGAGCCACCTTGACCTTCCTGGTGTGTCTGAAGCCACACGTGGTCCTATCTCTCCTTCACCCTCGGAAGAAACAAAGCTTAGGCATTTCTTTAAATGCAGGAGAGAAGAGAGAGAATTCTGGCTTAACAATATAATTGCCTTTGAATCCACAGTGTCTATTACCTCTTAGGACATTTTCCCACAATGAAGTTGCCTTATAAAAAGAAATGGCCCTAGTTAAAATGCTCCCATTCTTTCAACCCTGTGATTAGATGTCGGGTTTTGAAATTGCATTTGGTGACCTTAAAGATATCCTGAAAGGACTCCTCAAATCTCACCGGAAGTGTTTACTCCCAAGTACTTCCCTTCCACTGAAGAAAAAGCCCCGTCTGTTGATAGCACAACTTGTACCTGTTATACAAGGAACAAGGACTGGGTAATACTCAATAAAGTATCTGATCAGTTAAATGTCAGAAAAAGATAATATTAAAAAAAAAAATCACAGATAAAAGTAGTGTTAGCCAACAGGCTGCTATGGGTAACCGGCTGTCAAGACAGTATGAAAACAACCATAGCACAGAATATTCTATGGACTATTTAGGATTCAGAAGGCTGCAGGTTCTGGGCTGGTGTTGTGTCACAGCAGGTCAAGCAGGTGCCAGTGTGTGTCTTGGTTGCTCCACTTGTGTTTTAGCTCCCTGTAATGTGCCAGGTAGAGCGGTGGAGGATGGACCAAGGACCTGGGTCCCCCCTGCTGGCTTTGAGCTGGCCTCGCCCCAGCAGTTGTGGCCACTTGGGGGATGAACCAGCGGTGGAATAATCTTCCTATGTGTCTCTATTCCTCTCTCTATAACTCTTTCAAATAAATAAATACATCCTAAAACAAAAAAAAATGAAAAAGGCTACAGGTCGACCCCACCTGCCCCCCTGTCACCGTCAGTCATAAGCCAACCCTGAACTTGGCAGGCTGACAAGAGGAAGCAGGGAAATGACATACAAACACTCGACTATCCTGCACATCCAACAAGGTCGAGCCCTCTCAGGTGCAGTGATAGCAAGCACCGACGCCTGCAGTGCCACCCAGCACTATCTTCTCAGAATGAGGCCAACACGTGCTGGGTACAGTAAAGCCTTGAGACAATGGAGCCTGCAGCCCTGATTCCTGGGACCTGACACCAACAGGAGTATTATTTTCTATCATAAAAATCCTTATTCCTATTCCTTGTGAAGGCCTGGTAGAGTGACCATACGTTGACCTGGGAGACTAAAGCCAGCTTGTGCATCTGAAACAACACTATATCATGCCATCTATTTGAAACAACAAGACTCTGGATCATAACACAAAGTAAATAGTGCGTGGTGCAGGGGCCTGGGGAATAATCATGGTTTCTTGTACCCATCATAACAGAGTTGTTGTAGCAATCTATGCTTTGTGTCAAAGAGAGCTACTGTCCCATACTGTTCATGTTTAATAAGTTAGGTATTTGAATTTTATAAGCCAGGTGTCATTTTAGAGTAAATATTTGTAAAACAAAACACAACAAAGAACAAAAACAAAACAAATCTTAGCCCTAACAAACAGCCACTGTAGGAGGGGATAAAATGGGGCTGCTTAGGAAGCTGATTCCAGCACTGCCCCAGCAGCCCTGGGTCTGAGGATGGGCTGTGGATTCTGGCTGGCTTTTGGAGTCAGGTGCACTATGGGCTGTGACAGCAAGGGGGGCAGAAATGACACAAACTCCAACTGTGTTTGCTAGCCAAGGGAAAAGAAGGCAGAAGGAAGGGACTGGAGCCAACCCCATGGCATCAGCTCGGTAATACTATCCAGCACCAGTGAATCCAGAATTTTAGGGAAGCCAAACACAGCTTTCGACATCAGGAGGAAATGGCTCAAAGCAGTTGGACCTTGCTTTCTCCAAGTTCAACCCAGCCCCTCTGTCTAACTTAGGAGCACTGTGGCCGTCTGCCAAGCGGCGAGGCCTGAGAATAAGTACAAGAAGCATACTGGCAGGGCTGGGCTCTGCAGGCCTTGAAAGTCACTTGGGATCCACTGGGCTCAGCAGATTGGCAGAAAGCGGTGCTGGAAAAGGGGTCCGGGGGACACGAGGAGGCGGTCAAGCAGGCAGACAGCCTCAGGCAAGGGGGAGGGGTGTGCATACTTCTCACAGAAGCGCAGCCACCAATAAGTCAGGAAAATGTTATAGTTGGATTCTTACCAAATCTAGACTTTGTCTCCTTAAAACATTATTCTGTGATTTCTGGAAGAGAGCTCCACAAAAAGTACGGAAAAAAATTAATAATCACTGATAAATTTGGCATCCAATGATAACCGCCGACAATAGCTTGATATACCTTTTTTTCCTCAATATATTTTAAAATCAAAACTTGCATCCTAGGGTATATGAGGCTTTCCACTTGCTCGCTTTAGGCAATGGTGACATTAAACACTCCAGATGGACACAGGAAGAGCTGCCAGAGCCCTGCCCCACACCCACCCACGTCCACTGATGGTAAGATCACGTTGCCTTTAGGAGGGCCGGGAGATTTCACAAATGAATGCTTATCTGAGCGGAGCCTTTAAGAACAAGAGGAACTTTTTTTCGAGAAGCAAAACATTTTAGGTGGAAGAAATGAAATGAATAATATGTGAAGGAAGACACACAATTGGTTAAGAGGGAAGGCTGGGAAGTAAAAATGAGATCTGCCTGCCAGGCTAACCAGGCTGTGAACGAAGAAGCAGGGAGCAGAGGGAGAGGGGATGAGGGCCTCTCCGGCTGCTGCTGCGTCGTCGGGGGTGAAATCAGAGGCAGGGTCCAGCAGGGTTAAAGCCAGGAACGTGCCTCGCACAAGGACTGCTGCTAAGGCTGAGTCCCTGGGCCGTGAGCAGAGAAGCACAGCATTGCTCCCAGGATGGTGGCAGGGCTCTCGGTGACAGTGGCAGGTTTAATTCAAGATGGCACCCCGGGAAGACTCCACTGCAGTGGAGGCAGGAGAAGTACCAAGGTCCTGGTGCAGACAGACGGATGATGGGTCCCAGTCCTGGGAGCGTAATCTAGTGTTCTTAATTCGTACGCTGATAGAATATGGGTGGGACCACTGAAGGAGTTGTGGTGAACCGGGAGGCCTGCAGGGTCACCTGGGCGTCCAGCTAAAGCTGAGCGTGTGCTCAAAAGAGGCACACAGTCCCCGCTGTGGACCCCCACGGGCACGGTCTCTACAAGAGCTGGTGGAGGAATCGAGGGCCTGACACTAGTGGTCAGGTCATGCCGGAGTCAAGGCACCTGTTAGGATGGACGATGGTCAGAAATTGACCTTTGTCAGTGGGCTGGTCAGGTAACCCAGGAAGCATCAGGGCCACAGGGAGTGGGCGGGCCAGGCTGGGGGAGGGAGTGCCTGCGGAGGACAGACTGTGCAGAGTCCGGGAGGCCCTAGAGCTGCATTCGTCCAGGGAGCCGAGGGAAGGACTGGTGGCCTAAGTCACAGCCTCGTTTTTCCATGTGCGTATGGAAGGCACTGTGCAACCCAAGAAACAAAAGTTTTAGAAAACGAACCAGCTGGTTGAAATGAACTTGATTTTGTTCATTTGTTTCCCTCATTTCCGCAGCACACTGAGTTTAAAAACACACTGGCAAATATATCAGCCTTAGAAATAACCTGACAGCTGAGTCTACAGCCAGACTGGGAACGGAGGGGCCGGACTTGGGGAGGGCTTGGCCAGCAGCCACCTGGCAGTCCATTTTCTCTACACAGGGAGGGATGGTGCAGGTTAATGAAGCAGTTTAAGTTACTTAAAGGCATTTGGGTTACAAGCTCTGTAGTGGGTGGGGAATGCCCGCCACAAAGGGAGCCTCCCACGGAAAATACACAAAGAAAGAGTGCAGAAAACACAAGGAGACCACTCACTGCTTCTTTCCCAACCTCCCATAAAACCAAAACTTTGTATGGCACATGTCAAAACTAGCAGCTATAAAGTTTCAAGTGCATAAACAAAGCTTTGAGTTTTGAATTATGCAATATATTGGAATGTTATTAAGCAAGAAAATGCAGTTAGGTTTTTTTTTTTTTTTTGAAAAAACCTATAGAATTAGAGTTAATCGCTTGTACACTGCAACCTAATGAAGTGTGATGATCTGAGAAGATGTAAGACCTTGAGGTTAAAAGCTCTAAAATCTGGCTTCATGAATATCATACACTGGAAGTTAAAGGGAAGGGAGACCAAAAAAAAAAAAAAAACAACACAAAAAACAAAAGAAAAAACAAAAGTACAATACCTCTGGATTCATTATTCCTTCTTTTTTAAAGCAGCTGTAAAACATGTCCATGGAAAACACTTCACTCCAAAGGTAGCCATAGTACTGGCCGTCGTATCCCCCTGCCAGATGCCCAAATGTGGCTGGCATATTTGTGCCTTTGGGAAAAAGGGACACATTGCACATCTCCGTCAGCATGATGACAAATGTTAATGAGCAGGCGATCAGGTAGCTAGGGCTGCTTTCTGGGGAGTCATGTGGTGGGAAGAGAAAGTGCGCAAGAGGTTGTCACCCCACCACCCCCTGGGCAGACCGGTGCCTGTGGCCAACATGTTTACCAACTTCCCCCACAGCTGGTTTCGGCCTGTGCTCTGGAATGCCTGATGACAGTGTCACGGGCTTCGTCCACACCCAGCAGACAGTCAGCCCTTTGCCATCCCTGGTGCTTTTGCTTCTGAAAGACTGTAATATGACCCTGCTCTCTGCCACACATCTTCCTATCCACAAGGACCAAGAATGGAGCTTCCTACAGGCTGATGGCTCCTAAATAAGAATTCTTTATTGGAAAATTAGGAAAGATAGGGCTACATTAAAAATGATTTTGAGCCTGGCACGGTAGCCTAGTGGCATAAGTCCTCGTCTTGCATGTGCCGGGATCCCATTCAGGCGCTGGTTTGTTTCCTGGCTGTTCCACTTCCCATCCAGCTCCCTGCTTGTAGCCCGGGAAAGCGGTCTAGGACGGCCCAAGGCCTTGGGACCCTGCACCATTGTGGGGACCCAGAATAAGCCTCTGGCTCCTGACTTCAGATGGGCTTAGTTCCAGCTGCTGTGACTGCTTAAGGAGTGAACCAGTAGACTGAAGAAAGATCTTTCTCTCTGCCTTTCCTCTCTGTAGAACTGCATTTTTAATGAAAAGAAATAATCTTAAATTAAAAAAAAAAAAGATTTTAAGATCAGAATTATAGAGAGAGGGAAAGACAGAGATCTTGACACACTGGTTCACTCCCCAAAATGGCCACAACTGCTGGAGCTGGGCCAGGCTGAAACTTGGAGCCCACAAGCTAGGAACTTCTTCCAGGCCTCCCAAACATCCGGGCTGTCTTCCAAAGGACTGGAAGTGGAGCAGCCCAAATAGGACCTGGGATACAAGTTGGTGCTCCGGGAATGCTAGCATCACAAGAGGCGGCTTTGCTTGCAATGCCACAGTGCTGGCTGTTACAATGATTTCATCAAAGCTGCCCTATGGTTGATCTGTGGACAGATCACCAAGGGAGGCCAGAAACCCAGACTGAGTCAACTGGCCATCTTTATCTTTACTGTCTTTATAAATGTGGCTGATTCATTCTTTAAAAAGATTTTATTTGGAAAGTCAGAGTTAAAGAGAGGGAGAGATAGAGAAATCTTCCATCCATGGATTCACTCCCTACTAAGAGCCAGGGTTGGGCCAGGTCAGAGCCAGGAACCAGGAGATACATCAGGTTCTTCCACATGTGTGGCAGGGGCCCAAATATTTGGTTGGTTCATTTATTTTTACAACAATATTCCTGGTGAACTTACTTTACCAACTAGAGATGAATACACAGCTCTATGTTGAATTAAAATATATGGAGTAAGGTAGGGTAGTGGCACAGTGGGTTAAATTGCCATATGAGCATCCTATATGAGCACCAGTTCTAGTCCTGGCTGTTCCACTTCGGATTTAGCTCCTTACTAATGATTCTGGGGAAGCAATGGACCATGACCCAAGTACTTGGCTCCTGTCACCCATGTAGGAGACCCACACCGGGTTCCAGGCTCCCAGCTTTAGCCTGGCCAGTGAACATTAGATCTCCCTTTATCTCTCTCTCTCTCTCTCTCTTTGTCATTTTACAGATAAGTAACACTAAGATCTTAAAAACAATCCCAAGCAAAGTGACAGTCATAGCTGGTACTGTGCACAGGGAATTAAGCTGTTGTTTGGACTACTCACATCCCACATAGGAAGCCTGGAGCTAGAGAACTGCTTTTGTTTCTGACCCAGCTCCCTGCTAACGTGTTCCTTGGGAGGTAGCACATCCCTGTTATCTCTGTGGGAGACGCAGGATGGGGATGCTGGCTGCTGGCCTCATCCTGGCCTAGCCTGGGCTGTGGGCGTTTGTGGAATGAACTCATGATGAGAAAAAAAAAAATCCCCCTCCTCTGTTCCTTTCTCTCTGTCATTTTGCCTTTATTTCTTTTTTTTTTTTCAAAGTTTTTATTTTAAATTTTTGTTGAAAAGGCAGATCTACAGAAAGAAAGGGAGAGGAAGAGACAGGGAGAAAGACCCAAACGGTTGCACGGGCTGGAGCTGAGCCAATCCAAAGCCAGCACTTTCCTCTGGGTCCCCATGCGGGTCCCAAGGCCTTGGGCTGTCCTCTACTGCTTTTCCAGGCCACAAGCAGGGAACTGGATGGGAAGTGGAACGGCTGGGATATGAACTGGTGCCTGATTCCAGCACTTGCAAGGCGAGGATTTAGCCCCTGAGCTAAGGTCACTGAGTGCCAGGCCCCATTCTGCCTTGCAAATCTATAAATCTTTTTTTTTCCAAATATATAAATCTTTAAAACAAAGAAATAAGTCCTCCAAAGAGGAAGAATGAGAGAAAAGAAAAGAAGAAAGGAAGAAAAAAAAAAAGGAAGAAGCTTGCAGCTAACTTCTCAAACTGAAACAATATAGAAGTCCCTGCTTCTCACTGCCAGCGCCCTCTGCCATATTCTACCTGGGAATCACAGGGAAGTCATGGTGCCCGCAGGCAGGGCGGAGCTGGAGGGTGCTGCCAGGCACGGAGGGCGCTCAGCTCCGGGCGGAGGCCAGCTGCTCACGCCTGATTACACTAAAACGCTGCGGCTCTGCAGCCACCTCTCCTCTGAGCACATTTGGACGGCATCATTCATGAGGGCATAGTACGCTTCCCTGAAAGTTATGTCCTGACTGCAGAAATCAGAAACCAACGAAACTGGGTAATGTGGCTGACTGCTCCGCCCCGCTGCAGAGTTCGGGGTGCGCCCTGGGCTTGACGGGGTCAGGGCTCCGTACGTACCAGGAGTAGCTGCAACGCCTAAAATCTCTGTGCAGTATCTGGCGTATTCACTTGCGGCATCCAGGGATGTGTTGGCATGGAGGGACTGGTCAACTTTGCTCAGAACAATCTGGCGAAGGGTCAGGAGACCTAAGGACAGGAGAGGGCTTGAGTGCGTTTCGAAGAGAGAAGAGTCTGTTTCGGTATCAGATGATCACAGATTTCAAAACACCCTTCCCAGTAATACTCATCATACAGTAGAAGCAAGGCATTGTATTCTATTTAAGATTTAAAGGTTCCGCCCCTCCCCAAACATAACCCTAGGATCCCCTAGTCCAATGTTTAGTGTTCTTCTTTCACTATGTCTGCACTGCCGAGACACCATTATCACTAAGGAAAACACTAATTTTATACAATATGGCAGAAGTCTGGTGTCAAGTGACTTTAGCATATTGTCCTTTCTTAAAATTATGTCATACCTGTGTTGACCAGTCTTGAAGCAACAAGTTTTTCAAGCAGGTCATCTGCAATGGGGTTTCCGTCTCTGTAATGCCTTGACAGTCTTCGGAGGGAGTCCGGGTCCCACACCCAGTTTTCCAGCATTTGCGATGGCACCTCCACAAAATCAGTTTCCACATTTGTTCCACTAAATCGGGCAAAATCAGTCTGCAAAGCAAACACAGAAGTGATTTTTAAAGCGCTGGATGAAACTATGTGTTGATTAATTGTGTTAAAAACTCTTGGAAACTCAAGGCAGGCTCAATGTTCACTGTCCCTTCAGGAGAAAGGCCCACGCACCCTGGAATCCCATAAGCTCAGACCCAAGTCCCGGCTGCTCTGCTTCTGAGCCAGCTCCCTGCTAAGCCCCTGGGAGACCAGTGAACCTAGAACCTGGTCCCTCACAGCCACGCAGGAAACCTGGTTGGAGTCCCAAGCTGCTGCCTTCGACCTGGCCTTGGCCCAGTCTTGCTAGCACAGACATTTTGGGAGAGAACCAGTGCATGGAGGATCTCTCTCTGTTTCTCCTTCCTTCCCTGTAACTCTGTCTTGCAAATAAATGAGGGGAGGGACTTGAATGACCTCAAATGTCAATGAAGATGAACACAGTCAAGCGTCATGAAAAATAACCCCTCTATGAATGGTGGCCTAGTGGCTAAAGTCCTCGCTGTGCATGCACTGGGATCCCATATGGATGCTGGTTCCTGTCCCGGCTGCTCCACTACCCTTCCAGCTTCCTGCTGGTGGCTTGAGAAAGCAGTTGAGGATGGCCCAAAGGATTGAGACCCTGCACCCATGTGGGAGACCTGGAAGAATTTCCTGGCTCCTGGCTTCAGATTGGCTCAGCTCTGGCCATTGCAGCCACTCGGGGAATGAACCAGCAGATGGAAGAGCTTTCTCCCTGTCTTGCCTTCTCTCTGCATATCTGTCTTTCCAATAAAAATAAATAAATCTTAAAAAAAATCCCCAAGAGATCTACATTAAAGTAACATTATATTCTTCTGAACTACAAGTGAACTTGATACAACCATCATGAAATCATAAGCAAAAAAATCAGTTAAGCTTTGAAAATTAAAAAAAAAAAGTTTCACATTGAAAAAGAAAAACCCATAAGGCAAAAGATCCCCTCCCCCCCAAATGCTTGCTTCTGTTTACTTAACACATGCCTTTCTGGGGCACTCCTCACTCCACTGCTTAATTACTCAAGTCAAAATCAATGAGAGTTAAATTACACATTATAGACTGATACCGCGTACCGCGTGCGCGCACGTGTGTGTGTGTGTGTGTAATGCCTTTACTTTAAAAATGGATCTAAACTAACCATGCTGTAGAAGTCACTACAAAAGCAGCTGCCATTCTAGTGGGAGTTAGATCCGTGCATCAGTGGGCAAACACAAAGGACCACACGGTGTAAATTCTCCAGGGGTATGTCAGAGAACCTCTTCAGCAGGAAGCTGGCGATTCATCAGGACAGATCTGTGTGTTCCACCCTTATCCCGGCCACGTCCACGGAACACTTGGAGAACCGACACCAGCATTTAGCACTTAGCATTTAGCTGTGGAGGTCCCCTGCAGAGCAGTCATTTTTCTGCTTTTTTTCCCTGGGAACCCCTGTTTTCCTTTTCCTGCATTTCTTACATTCCAACCTTCTCTCCCTCAACTTCACCATGCCTGGGGCTCTGCGTGGGGGGCAGAGAAGAGGGGGTTCACCCCTGAGCAGGCAGCAGATGGAGGCTGAGGCAGAGGAAATGGCCCTGCTTTTGGCCCAGGGCAAGGCACAGATGTCAACACACCATTTCACATTCTGCCTTCCTCTCTTTATGGGAAAAGAGGTTTTGCTTGACTTCCCATTATAATTACACTGATTCCAGACACAAAAAAAGAGCTGCAAATGTTGAAAGGCCAAGGCAAAAGAAATCCATTGCATGCTGGCGTCAGGCCACCTCTGCTGAGAGGGTCTCAATCAAAAAATTGTTTATGGAACAAGACAAAAGTCCCCCCAAAATGCATTATTTTGCCTTACACAGCAATACAAATTTTAACATTATGTCCTATCTGACAGATATGGTCAACATTAATCGAGACTCAGGCATGGAGTCTGTCTTTTTTAAAATGCCAAAACAATAAAAATATTAGTATCTCCATTGTTGGGAAAAGGAAATGGAAACACACAGATTATGGTAGAACCAGCTCTGAATCCAAACAGCTTAAATTCACAGCTCTCAATTTCAGCCATAAACCCTATAATGCTGATCTTCAGTAACACATGCGCACACATACACGCACATTGGAACTAAATTATTACACTAAATATGGCTAAACTGCCTTACAAATGATGTAAAATAGCAAAGCCTTACATTAAACTCTCTTTTATGTGAATGATTAAAAGTGGGTTGCCATGGGTTTCCTTAGAAATTTGTCTTCCTCTACACAAGGCAAGATTTTTCTTAAGATGAAACATGAGACCACAGCGTGAAAGCCAATAATTGTAATCAATTATCCTCAACTTGGGATTCTGCAATACTAATGGCCCGATTTTCTAAAGATCATGGTAGTTAAAGAGGTACTGATTGATTAATAAAGGCAAAAATAAGACTGTCAGCTACCATCATACAATATATTTGCAAAAGTATGAACTTCACAGATCCTGCTTGTGTGAAGATTTTTCGAAGTCAATATTTACATATGAGGAGGAAAGTCAACCATAAACAACAGCAAAAGTGTGTTGTGTGTGTGTGTGTGTGTGTGTGTGTGTTTGGGGGGAAGCTTAATACTTCTCTCCCCCAAAAATACACGAACAAATAATTAACTCATAAGTTAGAAATAAAACTGAGCCACATAGGAATCAACACAGTTATGTCATGCAGAATAGAGGGGTTATTCTTTCCAAAGTCATTCTGTGGTGGGAGAGAGAGCACAGCACACGAAATGGACAGATCAACAATGCCTTCTAAAGAACAAAGGGAAATGTTTGCATGGAATAAAAGCTAGAAATAGTCCCACTGCTTACTAATTTTCCACAAATCACTTACGTTTTTCTCTGAGAGTTTTTGGGGCAACACCATTTAAATATTTTTTTGCATGTTGGCGGACAAAGAACCAACATTGAAGAGCTGAATTTGTAACAAACTGAATTCTCAACCAAAAGGAATCCACAGTGCATGTTCAGATAGAACCCATGGGCAAGACTTAAAATTCAGCAGCCTGGGTTATCGTTCCTTATTGCTCAGCCAACAGACACCACTTATGGGTTTTTATACTGTAATTCAAAGGACCCACAAAAATGCTTTCTTGAATTTTTAGTACAATCTGAAGGTATTGAAAATAGTAGCTTATGGGCCATAATAACTACTGTTGGCAAACTACCTCCCAGGTAAAATAGAGTATTGTAAACACCAACAATCCCCCTCAACACACAACAGTGCAACTAACAAATCATTTTATAGTTGACACTTCAAAAAGTTTTAGAACATTTTTTGCTGCAGGAAATATTCTGACAATCAAAACCTAGAAAACAACACAAACTTAGATTTTTGTTCAGTTCGAACTCAATAAAATTAATCAAACATGAAATTTTTCGTTACCTTACACAGAGAGTAGAGAGCCTAAAATATGCCACGTTACAGGTTTTTACACAGATGGCTTGGTGCCATTGGTTCCCACTCTGAAGCTGTAGCATGCAGTGAGAGGTACAGCGAAACTAGGTGAGCTCAAGTTTCAAAAAGTTACATGAACTTTGTGCTATGTAAAGGCTGAAGTACTGTCAATTGTTTTAACTAAGAGACCAGCTGCTTTTAGTGGTTACAATGACTGTTACCATATTAAAGCCCAATTCAAAGAAAGGCAGTTGCTGAAATAGTCACGTCTACTTTGTTAGAGAAAAAGGACAGGTCTCAGTAGAGTGGACTTGGCTGCCTGAGGTGCTCCATTGCCTGAGATGGTCCACTGCCTAAGGTGGTGGACTGATGTGGACTACTGCCTGAGGTGCTCCACTGAGGTGGTCCATTGCCTGAGGTGGCGCACTGCCTGCAGTGGCCTACTGCCTGAGGTGCTCCACTGCCTGAGGTGCTCCATTGCCTGAGATGGTCCACTGCCTAAGGTGGTGGACTGATGTGGACTACTGCCTGAGGTGCTCCACTGAGGTGGTCCATTGCCTGAGGTGGCGCACTGCCTGCAGTGGCCTACTGCCTGAGGTGATCCACTGCAGTGGCCCATTGCCCCAGGTGTTCCACTGAGGTGCTCCACTGGCTGAGGTGGCCCACTGTCTGAGGTGCTCCACTGCCTGAGGTGCTCCACTGCCTGAGGTGCTCCACCGCCTGAGGTGCTCCACTGCCTGAGGTGCTCCACTGCCTGAGGTGCTCCACTGTTTGAGGTGCTCCACTGCCTGAGGTGCTCCACCATCTGAGGTGCTCCACTGCCTGAGGTGCTCCACTACCGATTTCTCAGCTGTCATTCCATGTCTCAATTTGTCTCATCTCACAAATACAGGGGTGATGGACAAGTTTATGTAAAAAGGCACTGAAATACACAAATGTAAAGTGGTCATGGTCTTAGACCTTGCTGTACACAAAAGGTTCTGACCTTGACACATATCTGCGCTCACCGGAAGCGATGATAGTACTAACGAGGATGTGAGTAGCATTTTGTTAACTTTCCTGTTTGACTTCACAGCAGCCTGGAGTTCAATAGGTCAGTAACTGCACAGTCACTGAAGGGACTAACGGATGAAGAGCTGGAGAAGTCCCGAATACTGCGATGAAGCTCGCAGACTCACTCCCAGCTAGCTCATGGGGCGCTCAGTAGATAAACGGCTTAAGTCAAAACAAGCCAAAGCACGCAGCTCAAAGCTGAAGGCTAAGGATGGGGAGTAGGTATAACTTTAAGATTGTCTTTCCAAAGTCCAGCACATACCCAGGAAGGAAGGTAAACTTACTAATTACTGTGAAATCACCGAGACCCTGGAGAGAACTTTCTGCAGGAAGACTCAGGCACACGATACAGTCTCTCATTGTTCCACCTGACCTCATCTCAGCCTCCAGCTTCACCTCTCTTTCCTACTCTGTCTTATTTCAATACTTCTACTTTTGCCATTTTACTGAATATCATGCTTTTTAAAATCTTCCACTTCATGTCCTCAAGCTAAACTCTGAACATTCAAGATATTTTAA